TCCCCTCCAAATAGCCTCTCCCCACCCAAAAAAAAAACAAATTTCCTGCCTCTCTAGGAAGAGGAGCTCATTGACCCAGAGGGAGGGGGAGGGGCAGGAGATCCGCCTCCCCTCCTTGCAAAACAGAAATTCACTTCCCAGCCTGCAAGCTCTACATTCCCGTTTATTTAGTGAGAAATTCACGGGTTCGATTACCTGCAGCGGCAGCGAAAGACGACCCACCCCCCACCCCGATTTCTGGAAAGCCTCCCCCCGGGATCTTTATTGTTGCAACAGGACTTCTACCCACCACATGGAAGAAGCAGCAAGAAGGTCTCTTTTGTATAAGCTTCCCTTTTCACACTCAAACACCCTTAGTGCAACATTATACATACGTCATATATACATCACAGCTATGTCATAACCTGGGAGGGGTCTTCTATATAATAATAAATAATAATAATTTATTATTTGTACCCTGCCCATCTGGCTGGGTTTCCCCAGCCACTCTGGGCGGCTTCCAACCGAATATTAAAAACAATACAGCGTCACACAGTTCCGGCAGGTTTGCCTCCATCCCTCCCTTGACCTGCGCTTCACTCCCATTAAGTAAAACAAAGGGGATTATGTGCATTAGGTACCTCCAACTCCCAAGAAAAAGCGATCTACTCACAGTGTTAAACTACTGGCTGTGATCTACCAGTTGTCACTGACAGGCAACGTGGTTGAGCTAGTTGTTGAGCTTTTTTTGGGGGGGGGGACCAAAATTGTTGAGCATTTTTATGGGGGGGGGGGACGGTTGCGAACATTTTTCTTTTTTTGGTCGCGAAGGGTCCCGCCAACATTTTTCGTTGTTTCGTTTTGTGAGTCACGTAGATTGCTAAAGGTCCTGTGATTGACAACAATCGACCAATGACGTCTGAACTAAAAATTTTAAGATCTTATATGTATATATAATAAATGTTCATAAATGTACCAACCAAGCACATACATAGATGTGTGGACTGCATGTCTGGAGCAGCACAGGAGGACCGCCCTGAAATCATTTTCAAATGTTTTCTCTGCAAGGAGGTGGGGGAGCCTCCCCATTGTCTTTTTGCTCACAAATCCTGTCTTAAGGGTATGTCTGTGTATGAATAGGGTGAGCCTGTGACCTGGCTCAGGAACTAAGTATTTGTCATTACAAAAGACAGGCCAGGCTCCCCAGGGTATGCAATCAAGTACAGTGGTGCCCCGCAAGATGAATGCCTCGCAAGACGGAAAACCCGCTAGACGAAAGGGTTTTCCGTTTTGGAGGTGCTTCGCAAAACGAATTTCCCTATGGGCTTGCTTCGCAAGACGAAAATGTCTTGCGAGTCTTGCCATTTTCTTTTCACTCCCCCCCCCCTTTTTCTAAGCCGCTAATAGCCTTTTAGCCGCTAAGCCGCTAAGCCTTTAATAGCCGCTAAACAGCTAATAGCGCTAATCCGCTAAGCCGCTAATAGGGTTGCTTCGCAAGACGAAAAAAACCGCTAGACGAAGAGACTCGCGGAATGGATTAATTTCGTCTTGCGAGACACCACTGTAAGCATTAACAGGTAATCTGCCAGACAAGAGGTAAACAACGCACTCAGATTTCTGTTGTAGGTATGATGTTTCTGGGGGTGGTCTTGAGCTCCAGGGCGGGCACTTTAAAATGTCTATATAAGGGCAGACACACCTTTGTTCTGGGTCCTCCTCCTTTCTCCTGCGTGTGAGGGGAGCACCCTGTTGCAACAGTTCAATCAAGATCAGGCTTACTAGCTGCTTTGCTTCTCAGTATTCTCTGGTTGGCCTCTGTTATTTTCTCCGACCGATGGAGAACCTGCAAAGGACTCTATAAGGGCTCTTGTGTCCCCCATAAGGGAATAAGGGCAGATTTACGTTTATTACACATCCCATGATCGACAAGTAGATCGTGATTGACCTGTTGAACATGCCTGATGTAAATGTTCCTGTTCTCCTGGTCAAGTTAATCACTCCCTTTTGTCTTGACCAAGATCCTAAAAAAACTGCGGCTGGGCTTACCTTGTTTCTGATATGGCTACCACTCAGGAGCCAGAATGCCAGCGATTATTGGCCAGGCAAGGAGGCTGCTGAGTACGTGGTTGATGAAATGTTTTGTAGGGGCATTTGCCAGAGTGATTGTGATGATTTTGGTAAATTTCATAAATTTCCATAAATTCCGGCACCAATTCCATTTTTTAAAAAAGAGAGAGCTGATAGAGAAAGTTAGGCTTTGTTATGTTTCAGATTCCTATGTTCATGTTTGGTGGGGGTGTACAGTGGTCCACGCCTTCTGGAGAAAAGTGTTTTATCTGACCCCCCAAATCACTAAACAATCTATCCGTCCTAATCCAGCACTTGCCTCATTATAACTGGATTTTATTCCAAATTCCAGGCTTCAGTCTAAAGAATTAATTTCCTTTCTGTTCACAGCAGCTAAACTATAGTTATTGCCCAATGATGGAAGGAAACCTCTAAAAAACCAATAGGGGCTTGGATCAATAACATCTGGATCATTGCTCTATCACAACGCCTCACATGCCATCGGTGTCTAATCAAAGGCATCTCCAAAAAAGATACCTTTGACACAATCTGGTCTCCCTTTATTGAAGAACACGATATTGATAATGCCATCATGATGACGCCATCATCATATCATCATCAGCGATGGCTCCAACCTGGTGGAATGCTCTGTCCCATGAGACCAGGGCCCTGCAGGATTTAACTTCCTTCTGCAGGGTCTGTAAGACAGAACTATTTTGCCTGGCTTTCAATTTGAACTTAGCCTGATCTTTTATTCCCCTTCCTTCCCTCCCCCTCCCCTTTTATGAAGATTACCCTCTCTGGGATCCCACAGCTAATTCTCCCCTGGTTTCCTCACTGGCCCAAATAGGACTAATTTAGCCAACTAGCCCTGGTGATCATCTAATGTTTATTGGATGGATTTCCCCCCTAAATTTATTTTTGAATTCTGAATTTATTGTTATTCACATTTTATGCTGTTTTTTGTTGCATCAATTAAGTGTTTTAAATTTGTTGTTAGCCACCCTGAACCCGGTTTTCTGAACTGGGAAGGGCAGGATATAAATAAACAATTATTTAGTATTTATTTATCATCACCACCACCACGGAGGTATTTGTGGAGGGGATATAATGATTGGAAATGTCTAGCCAAACAGATTGGTAGTTGGGTTCTTATTGAAGGTATTGGGGGAGCAAACAATACTATGATCTGGGATTGAGGATCGGAGTGATCATTCTGTGATATTATGGCAGTGGACAAAGCTGTATTTATTTTGAATAAATGATTTATTTTAAAAGGTCTTGAATTCAATGCTTTTGCATGCAGGAGGTCCCAGGTGCAATCCTGGCAGGCAAAGAGCCCCCTGCTGGCATCCGTCTGTCTCGGGGGGCGATGGAGGAGGGGGCCTTTGGGGGTGAAGTCCAACTGTGGGCAGCTTCCAGGACCTGCTGTGGCTGCTTCATGTCATGGGCAAATGCTCAATGCCGGCAGAGAGAGGAGCAGATCCAGATGAACTCTGCATTCAGCCTCCTATACTGCCAGCTCTTTCTACAGATTTCTGAAACATGGGCCTGTAATTTACAATTCCCTGTAAATCGCCCATTGTCTATCCATATTACCTCTCTTTATTGTAATAGCTTCAACAGGAGATAGCCGTAAAGGCGTTTTAATTTTCAACAGACTTTTATATTTCTCCCAAACTCTATACAAATTCTTCCTTACAATATGGTTTCTAAAGCTTTTGTAAATTTTTGCCTCACCAGAACATAAACATGCATGCCAACAAAATTTTAAATCCTGGCATTCTAGGTCCAGGATGTCTGCAATATCCAATGTAATCCATTCTTTTAACCAACTCAGGCAAGCTGCTTCATAATAGATTTGCAGATCTGCCAGATCATCTCAATTTCTGAAAGATGGGCCAATTACTTGGGCACAGATTCCTCTGTCCGCAGGCAAATGACTCTCCTGAAACCACTGGCAATGCCCACATTTCCCTGTGCCACCTTCCCTCCATATAGTGGTTGTCCCCCTCAGCACCTTCTTTATTCTGGCTACCACCAGGGATTTTATCCCCTTTGCAGTTAATGTACCCATGAATGAGAAGGGAAGGTAAAACAATAAATTAATAAAATCTAAACAATGTAGTAAGGTTTCATAATTACTTTTCAGTCATTTTGTGTTTTAATTGTTCCTTTATTGCAATTATAAAAATGGGCTTTATGCTGCTGTTCTTATAACAGGGACCTGAACTAGAAGACCTTAAGAGTCCCTTTCAACTCTTCAGTTCTAGAATTCTAGAGACAATCCTGCTTCCTAAACACTACTGCCGTACTGCACTTTTCACAACTCTCCACTCCCAACTCTATCTGCCAAAGACCAAATATCAACAGACTCTCAGCACATGCTCACTCTCAATGAGAACTCCAGAGTCGCATTCTGCACATCCCTAACAGTACACTAGCTCTATCATTATACTTACAATTATGAGAAATTACCTTCATTGCTTTAATACATATATGTACAACTTTCCATACAAACACCAGAACATCAAATATACCCCATGCATTTACCATTGATTTTTCCCTATCTGAGTTTGTTGATATGAAGCACAAAGTGAACTTTGTGGGGAAAACTTGGAGCACTCCATACATCTAAATGGGTTCTCCCCTGTGAGAGTCCATAGGTGTTGATTAAGAACTCCACTATAAGTGAAACACATTAAACACTTTCATTTAAACAGTTGCTTCTCTGTGAGTTTGCTGATGTTTTCTAAGATTTACACTCTTACTGAAGCACTTCCCACACTCCAAACATTTAAATGGTTTCTCCCCTGTGTGAGATCGTTGATGTTTAGTAAGAGCTCCACTCTCAATGAAACCCTTTCCACAATGTATACATTTAAATGGTTTCTCCCCTGTGTGCGTTCGTAGATGTATATTAAGATGTGAACACCGACTGAAGCTTTTCCCACACTCTGTACATCTAAATGGTTTCTCCCCTGTGTGAGTTCGTAGATGTAGAGTAAGGTGTGAGGTATGTCTGAAGCTCTTTCCGCACTCCATACATTTAAATGGTTTCTCCCCTGTGTGAGTTTGTTGATGTCTTGTAAGAGCTCCACTCTCACTGAAACCCTTCCCACAATCCATACATTTAAATGGTTTCTCCCCTGTATGCGTTCGTTGATGTACAGTAAGTATTCCATTGTGACTGAAGCCCTTCCCACACTCCATACATTTAAATGGTTTCTCCCCAGTGTGAGTTCGTTGATGTATAGTAAGGTGTGAACACTGACTGAAGGTCTTTCCACACTCCATACATTTAAATGGTTTCTCCCCTGTGTGAGTTCGTTGATGTACAGTAAGGATTCCATTGTGAATGAAGCTCTGCCCACACTCCATACATTTAAATGGTTTCTCCCCTGTGTGAGTTCGTAGATGAACAGTAAGTATTCCATTGTGACTGAAGCCCTTCCCACACTCCATACATTTAAATGGTTTCTCCCCTGTGTGAGTCCGCTGATGTCTAGTAAGGTGTGAACACTGACTGAAGCATTTCCCACACTCCATACATCTGAATGGTTTCTCTCCTGTGTGACTCCGTTGATGTATAGTAAGGCTTCCACTCTGACTAAAGCTCTTTCCGCACTCCAAACATCTGAATGGTTTTTCCTCTCTGTGAATTTGTTGATGTACATTAAGGCTTCCACTCTGACTGAAGCTTTTTCCACATTCCGTACATTTAAAGGGTTTCTCCCCTGTGTGAATTTGTTGATGTACAGTAAGTTTTCTACTTTCACTGAAACACTTCCCACACTCAATACATTTATATGGCTTTTCCCCTGTATGAGTTCGTTGATGTAGAGTAAAACTTCCACTCTCACTGAAGCACTTCCCGCACTCTGTACATTTAAAGGGTTTCTCCCCTGTGTGAGTTCGGTGATGTACGGTAAGGTGTGAAGACTGTCTGAAGTTCTTTCCACAGTGCATACATTTAAATGGTTTCTCCCCTGTGTGAATCCGTTGGTGTATGGTAAGTTTTCCCTTTTCACTGAAGCTTTTTCCGCACTCCATACATTTAAAGGGTTTCTCCTCAGTGTTAGTTTGAAGATGTGTCCTAAGGTGTTCACTCGCAGTGAAGTACTTTACAGATGGCCCCTCGAAATTCTGATTGCCTTCTCCATCACCTGGTTTTAAATATCGGGGGTGGGAGATAAGAAAATATTGTTAGGTATTCAAGGAAGAGAACCAGAGAACTTAACACACAGCAAGGCCAATCAGCACCTTCTCTGATTTTAACACTTCCAGTATCCCTCCCTCTTCTATCTACTAAAGATTTAGGAAAGGAAAGGACATAAGATAATAGTCTCAAGAACCCTTAGTATCCAGTTCTACCTTCGACTCCCATGTAACACTGAACACCAAGAGAAACCTCCTATGCTGAGGTGAGGCATCTATGACCCTCCAGATGTGGTTGAACTCTAAGCAGCATCAACCCAAGCAAAGATGGCCAATGACCAGGGATGATGGGAGTTGTAGTGCAGCCACATCGAGAGGGAGACACTTTCCCCCTTCTGTGAAAATGCTGCACCTCTGTATTCAGTTTTCTCCTTCCTCTATGATCTGTAATTTCTTCCTGATACATTCCAACCAACTGTACACATCGCCTAAACCTGCACCAGGCTGCTGGAAAAGATGGGCCCTCATTCTAATCCAAATGGCTCTTTTTAATAATAATAATAATAATAATAATAATAATAATAATAATAATAATAATAATTTATTTGTACCCCGCCCATCTGGCTGTGTTTCCCCAGCCATTCTAGGCAGCTTCCAACAAAGATTAAAAATACATTAAAATGTCACACATTAAAAACTTCCCTGAACAGGGCTGCCTTCAGATGTCTTCTAAAAGTCTGGTAGTTGTTTATCTCTTTGACATCTGATGGGAGGGTGTTCCACAGGGTAGGCGCCACTACTGAGAAGGCCCTCTGCCTGGTTCCCTGTAGCTTTGCTTCTCACAACTGCCAGAAGGCCCTCAGTGCTGGACCTCAGCGTCCGGGCAGATCAATGGGGGTGGAGACGCTCGTTCAGGTATACTGGGCCAAGGCCATTTAGGGCTTTAAAGTCAACACCAACACTTTGAATTGTGCTCGGAAACGTTCTGGGAGCCAATGTAGGTCTTTCAAGACCGGTTTTATATTCCTACACACTGAAAGGCGACATACAAAGTTACAGTCTCACAGCAAAGTGGAAGCATGTAACACTCAATCTGTTCAGGACAACATGCCTGTGTTTTTCAGTTCCAAGCAAGGAGATGAGCTCAGACCTGAGTATCAGAGCCGCTCTATGAGGAATAAGTAAAACATAAGTGCTGTATTAGTAATACAGTGGTACCTCTGGTTATGAGCTTAATTTGTTCCGGAGGTCCGTTCTCAACTTGAAACCTTTCTTAACCTGAGGCACACTTTCGCTAATGGGGCGATTCCGCTCGCATCCTGGGGCAAAGTTCGCAACCAGGAAATCTACTTCCGGGTTAGCAGAGCTCATAAGCCGAAGCTTTCGCAAGGAGGACGGTTTGTAACCAGAGATATTACTTTATATGACTATAAAAATATACAAAAATATTAAACTTTTGAAGCAGAGGCAACAAAGTATCTGCTGGCCCATTAAAAGCTAATAAATGACGTGGACCAGGAAACCTCATAACACCATTATTAACCCGTGAGTCTCTTTGTAGATTTTCCCATTTTAATTTTTTGTGTGGAATTCATACCATAATATCAGTTTATGAAGTTACCTACTGATAAAAGTACAGTGTTTATAAACTACAATCTTCAACATCAACTTCGTTGGGCTGGTCATGTTGTTCAGATGCCTGATTATTGTCTTTCAAAGCAACTATGCTATTTCTAACTTAAGAATGGAAAGTGAAATACAGGTGGGCAACTAAAGTGGTTTCAAGATGTTCTGAAGGCTAATCTAAAAAAATGAAGTATAGGCATAGAAAATTGGGAACCACTGGCTTGCAAGAGTGCCAACTGGAAAACAGCTTTACCAAAGGCTTCATGGACTTTGAAGAAGCACAAACTCAGGACGAAAGGGAGAAACAAGCTACGAGGAAAGCATGTTTGGCAAAACCTCGCTGTGATTAACTCCTAGAATCATAGAATAGAATCATAGAATCATAGAGTTGGAAGAGACCACAAGAGCCATCGAGTCCAACCCCCTGCCAAGCAGGAAACACCATCAGAGCACTCCTGACATATGGTTGTCAAGCCTCTGCTTAAAGACCTCCAAAGTAGGAGACTCCACCACACTCCTTGGCAGCAAATTCCACTGTCGAACAGCTCTTACTGTCAGGAAGTTCTTCCTAATGTTTAGGTGGAATCTTCTTTCTTGTAGTTTGGATCCATTGCTCCGTGTCCGCTTCTCTGGAGCAGCAGAAAACAACCTTTCTCCCTCCTCTATGTGACATCCTTTTATATATTTGAACATGGCTATCATATCACCCCTTAACCTCCTCTTCTCCAGGCTAAACATGCCCAGCTCCCTTAGCCGTTCCTGCCCAGAAACCTATGTCCCCACTGCCAAAGGATGTGTGGATCCAGAATTGGACTGCACAGTCACTTACGGACACACCGTTAAGATCATGTGGATGGAAGACAATCTTACTCGGCTACGAGGGGTCGCCAAAGAAGAAGACACAGCATGAATAAATGACTCAAACAGCAGATTCACACCTCCAACGTCTAACAGTCAAGAGGCATAAAAATGTGCCCTTACCTAGAGAGGCCACCATCTCATAATTCTCCTCCATGACTTCCTTGTGCAGAGCTCTTTGGCCTGGATCCAGCAGAGCCCACTCCTCCTCCGTGAAAAACACAGCCACCTCCTCAAAGGTCAAGAGGGCCTGGAAGAAGAAGAGGAAGAAGACAGAGCTTCTCTTAGATCCCCATCATCCCCACTCAACACAGAGGGAGGCTAGGTGGTCCCATCTGTGCCTCTTCCCTCCTATCCGATTCCCCAAAGCTCTTTCCTTACCTGAGTAAGCTTCCTGGCTCCTCTTTCCACTCCACCTTTAAGAAGAGACGGTCCAAACAGTGCCTCTGAGGCCATTGCGCTGCCTGCAGGCGATTTGGAGGAGGCGTAAACTGGGCCACTTCTGGGACTCCCTCAGCTGTTGACAAGATGCACTTCAATGCAGCGAGCTCTTTAAGGAGAATAATGCAGAAATAATAATAATAATAATAATAATAATAACAACAACAACAACAACTATTATTATTATTATTATTATTATTATTATTGAATTTATATACCGCCTTATACCTGGATGTCTCAGAACAGTTCAAAGAAAGGCAGATTTATTTAGGGTGGGAGACATTAACACAAATAGCATTCCTTTTACAAAGTACAAATACCAGTACTAATAAACTAATACTCATAAATTCTCATTACAAAGGGAACTGGAAGGATGTAACCCTTTCTACAGGAACTTTATAATAGTATAAGCTGCCTCAGCCTTTAGGGGACATTCAGCTTCAGTTTGTAAAGTTCTAGGATCAAATCCCAAACTCTGAATGAAGCTTTGCAGAAAGCATTACAGTCATTCCTCTGAAAAGCCGCCCAGGAAACCAGTTTCTGACCCTTTGATACATTTAGAATGAAGAAAATAAGAGAATCTCCTAAATTATGGGCAGAATTTGCAGTCAGAAGAAAAGCAACACCTGGGGGGCACCAGGGTGCAGAAGCTCCATCCAAGGGGAGCAGATGGAAATATTTAGAGCACTCTATGCGCTAACATGGATTGGTTTAGGGGACAGAAATAGGAAGTTCAGTGGCTTATGGCTCCCTAGGCCTTCCTCTTAGGAACCTCTCTCTCTCTCTCTCTCTCTGTGTGTGTGTGTGTGTGTGTGTGTAGCCTTTTATCTTCTCTACACTGTGAGGATGGACAGGATAATAATAATTTAATAATTTATAATAATAATTTATTATTTATACCCCACCCATCTGGTTGGATTTCCCCAGCCACTCTGGGCAGCTTCTCTTAGCATGAGAAATGACCAGAGTGTCCAGAAGTGGCTTAGTCATGCTGGACACATGACCCGGAAAAACTGTTTGCTGACAAACGTCAGATCCCTTGGCTAGTAAAGTGAGATGAGTACTCCAACCCCAGAGTCATTCACAACTGGACTTAACTGTCAGGGGTCCATTACCTTTTTTTACCTTTTATGCGCTAACATGGATTGCAGTTTAGGGGACAGAGATATGAAGTTGAGTAGCTTATGGCCCCCTAGTCCTTCCTCTTAGGAACCTGTGTGTGTGTGTGTGTGTCCCCTTTTATCTTCCCTACACTGTGAGGAAGGACAGGAGGAGAAATAATCAGAGGGTCCAAACTGGGCACAGGGCATCCGTCCTGAGGATGGGAGACTGGGTCTCCCTGGTGGAAGCCCAGCACCCGAACTGCAGGGTGGGGAACCTCAGACCCAGGGGCTGAATTGGCCCTCAAATCCTTTCTGTCTCTCTCTCTGGCCCTCAGGAATTTCCCCAGCACCACACCCTCTTTCCAACGCTTCCCAACTGCCTACTGAGGTTTTTTTGTGGGGCTGGGAAAAATCCCTGGAAGGCAGGCAGCTCCTGGACAAAGCTCAGAGTCAGCCTCATAGTCCCATCAACTCTGTCCTCTGTCTTGCCCATCAATAGAAAGAGGCCCCTGGACGGCTGCTCAGGAGCGAAAATGGCCCTCAGGCTGGATAATGGTCTCCACCCCTGTTCCAAACATGGAACAGGCTGTCATCCTGGCCCACCTTGCAGGGTTCTGGTGTGAGCATTGCCCAGGTGGGTTTTAGATCACCTACAGTATCCTGCCAACCTAGCAGTTCGAAAGCACGTCAAAGTGCAAGTAGATAAATAGGTACCACTCCGGCAGGAAGGTAAACGACGTTTCCGTGTGCTGCTCTGGTTCGCCAGAAGCGGCTTAGTCATGCTGGCCACATGACCCGGAAGCTGTATGCCGGCTCCCTCGGCCAATAAAGTGAGATGAGCACCGCAACCCCAGAGTCGGTCACGACTGGACCGAATGGTCAGGGGTCCCTTTACCTTTACCGTACAGCATTACAAGGCCTTCCTGGCAACCTGGACGAGGCCAAGCAGGAGTGAGGCTGCCAGAACCAGCAGAGAAAGTCCCTCAGCACCTCTGCGCTGGGCCAATTCTGAAAGACAGGCCAGATCTCCCACCCCTGGGGGCTTTGATTCTCCTTCCCGACAAAGTCCCAAGAGGATATCTGGAGAAGCCTCTTTTTGGAAAGAAACAGCATCAAAAACTCATCCCCCTTCCTCTTTCCCCCAAGTCCAGCTGGGGAGGGGGCGTTTCTTTAATTCCTCCAATCCTTCCATTGGAGCTTTTTAAAGGGCTCCTGAGACCTTGATCAGTTTCAATTCCTGCCATCCATGGGCCCATTTCCCTTGCTAAACAGGAGGGAAACCAACAAGGTGCTTTTTCATGCTTCAGGAAATCAGGAATGCGCCTCTTCCCTCCAGTTTTGGGGCACAAAAGCAGCACAGCAAACCCCCCCAACTGCACCCCCCCAACATGGGAAACCCAACAAGGCTCTTTCCTTTGTGCCAAAGCAGCTGGCCAGACTAGGATTTCTGAAAGGGGGGCTGGGGGGCCTCCCCCTTCCTTCTCACATCAGCCTCTTTCTTACTCAGGAAGCTCCGGAGGCCGATTTCCCTTGACATTGTCCATCTCTCACCCCCCAATTCGAAATCTCCCCCAATCCAGAGGTGACTCTGTTCTCCAGCTGCTTCCACTTCCTCTCCCCTGCTTGCCCTCCCGATCTCCGCCCCACTGAGGCAGGGGCTTCAGCAGCAGATTTCGGAGGGGGGCAGATCAGAGAGGAGCAGCACAAGGTGGAATGGGGCTGCCCCCCCCTTTGAACGGAATAGGACTGACCTCTGAGTCAACATGCACAGGGTAGGGCTGCAAATCCCTTTGTAGTTTGGGTGCATGGGAGGGGCACCCTTTTGTGGTTCGTCTCAAGTGTCTTCGCCCCCCTCCCCCCACCATGGGAGCCTGGCTTGATCTCTGCGCTTCGAAAAGGATCTTGCAATGCAAACCCTCCTGGGGGGAGAGGACCCCACTTTGCAACAGGATGGCCTGCATCCAGCCCCCCCCCTCCCCACAGAGAAAGGGCGGAGCCCTTCCCTGATTTCCTGACTCTGCCCCCCCCCAATCCTCCCACCTCCTTTCCCAAATGCCCTCTTTGTAGATTCAGGGGGAGGGAAAGCAAATCCTCCCCCCCCATATAACCCCCCAATATGCTGCACCTCTTTCTCCTCTTCTCCAAGTCCGCTTCTCTTCCGGGAATGAGGATGGAGACCCCTCCCCTCCAAATAGCCTCTTCCCTCCCCCCGCAATAAAACTCCCTTCCTGCCTCTCTAGGAAGCGGAGCTCATTGACCCAGAGGGAGGGGGAGGGGCAGGAGATCGCCCCCCCCCCTGCAAACAGAAATGCCCTTCCCAGCCGGCAAGCCCTATATTCCCGTTTATTGAGTGAGCAATTCATGGGTTCAATTCCCCGCAGAGGCAGCGAAGGGCGACCCCCGCCCCCCGAATTTCTAAAAATTCTCGTCCTGGGAAGGAGTTTAAAGTAACTTAAGACAACACTAAGGGCTGGTCCAGTGTCATTGCAATGGGTACCTTTTTTAAAAAAGAGGGAGCTGATGGAGAAAGTTGGGCTTTGTTATATGACTTTCTAGAGTTTTCCCAATGAGCCAGTATATAGATACATTTATCAGTGAATTGTTACATTTGGCAATCTGCAGCGGAGGCCCTTTGAATAGAGATAGGAAAATTGGTTGATGAAATGACATTTGCAGGAGTGATTCCAACCGAATATTAAAACCAATACAACATCATACATTAAAAACTTCCCAAAACAGGGCTGCCTTCAGACTCTGGGGTTGTGCCGCTCATCTCACTTTATTGGCCGAGGGAGCCGGCGTACAGCTTCTGGGTCTTTTAGTCAGCATGACTGATCCGCTTCTGGCAAACCAGAGCAGCACACGGAAATGCCGTTTACGATCCCGCCGGAGTGGTACCTATTTATCTACTTGCACTTTGACATGCTTTTGATCTGCTGGGTTGGCAGGAGCTGGGACCGAACAACAGGAGCTCACCCTGTCACAGGGATTCGAACCACCATCCTTCCAATTGGTAAGCCCTAGGCTCAGTGGTTTAGACCACAGCACTACCCGCGCTTTTGCCTTATGATATCATAAATACACATGCCAACGGAATCTTTTATCATGACCTTCCAAATCTAACAAATCTACATTTTTTAAAGTTATCCTATCCTGGATTCAGCAAATGCAAGATGCTTCATAATATACCATATTTTTCGCTCTATAGGACACACTTTTCCCCCTCCAAAAATGAAGGGGAAAAGTGTGTGCATCCTACAGAGTGAATGCAGGCTTCAGGAATCTATCCGCAAGCCTGCGGAGCCCGGCTGGAACTCCCGCCAGGCTCTGCAGGCTTGCGAATAGCTGCCTGCATCCCGGAGCCCGGGGAGCGCAGCGCTGTGCACCCCGGGCTTTGGGCAGCTCTCCGCAAGCTTGCGGATAGCAGCCTGCTGTCCCCGAAGCCAAAACAGCGAGACGGGGCACTGCACAGCCCTCCGTCTTGCTGTTTCAACTTCGGGATGGCTGTGCAAAGCCTCCGCAGGGCAGCGAGGTGAAGGCACCACACCGCCCTGCGGAGGCTACAAAGGATGTCCCCAAAGCCTCAAGCCTTTGGAGTGCAGCTGTGCTCCAAAGGCTTCAGGGATCTTTGAGGCTGGCGGTGGGGGAAAGCAGCGCTGGGGGGCAGCAGCAAGGCCTGCTCTTGCACGCACCTTGTTTTTGAGGGCGAGAACAATAAAAACCATTTCCCCCCCCCCCATGGTCTGGTGTGTCCTATGGTCCAGTGCGTCCAATAGAGCGAAAAATACGGTAATCTTAAATCTGGTAGAGAGAAACCTCCTCTGTCTTTGACATCTATTAGTAATTTATGTTTTATTCTTGGTTTCTTCCCTCTCCAGATAAATCTTGAGATATATTTTTGCCATTCTTTGAAGCAGTTCATATTGCTTATCACCAGAATTGATTGAAATAAAAACATATGAGGCAATACATTCATCTTAATTACTGAAATTCTGCCCAATAATGATAAATTCATCCTTCCGCAAATTTCTAAATTCCTTTTTATTTCTGTCCATAATTTTTCAGTTATCTTTAAATATATTAATATTCTTAACTGTAAACCATATTCCCAGATATTTAACAGATATATATATATATTTGTGTCTTATGCTGTATCTCCTTTTTGTCTTGCTCTGAAACATTCTTCACTAAGAGCTTAGTCTTATTTTTATTCAATTTAAAACGTGATACCTGTCCAAATTCCTATATTTTTTCTAATACTTTCTGTAGTGTGTTACGGTAAAATCTGGGTGCGAGGCTGCTCTGTCACCCAACTCGTCGGACTAAGTCCGCGGGTCCCTGCGGAGGAAAATGAGCTCAGCTGGAGACAGGAGCAAGCTGCAGAAGATCCAAGTTTATTGCGCAACAGGTTCAAGGCGAGATTGAACCCCGAGAAAGGGGTGACATGAACTTTTAAAACTTCCCTCCATGTCCCAGAATACAGTGCAAAATACATCACAGTTACATCATGAATACATTAAGGAGAGGTTGGGTTACACCGGATTAACATATGGAGGAGGGAGGGGGGAATAGGCAGAGCTGGAGATATGTGCAAATAAGCACATGCTGAGTACCGGTGATGAGAAGACAATGGTCCATGTATGCATAGTCTGCCACCTGGCATTGCCTGGAGGAAAAGCTTGGCAGAGCGATTTGACAGGATTAGGGTCTTCCTGAGTACGTGACACCTCGCTTGAGGGATCATGGAGGGCAGGGGAGGTGTCATGGAGTCCTGGAGAGACTGAGCCGATTGGCACCGAAAGCAAGAAAATTGGAGTTGTGGTTGATTTTATACGAATTTTTAAAGATTTTAGTCCATTTTATATTGATAATTGAGGTCGGAAACAAAAGGGATACATTGTAGCAAGATTTGACACTTTTATGAGTTCACAAGTTTCGGTTCCATTGTTCTCCCAGCAGGGAGCCATCAGCAGCTTGTCAAGAGGTTAAATGAGGCGTGCAGGAGCTCGCTGAGCTAGCTCTGCAAGGTGAATGCATGGTTCTGATTGGGTAGAACGCACCCATTGAAAGAATAGGGAATACAGCTTTGTACGGTCGACCCATAGTAAAGAGAGGGAGGGAAGGCATAAGATTTTGGGCTTATTTCGCCCGTAATAGCGGATTGGTGTAGGAAAGGGAAAGGGGCACTTTATTTATGGGGCTTGGGGTAGAGTGTGGTGCTTATGCAACGGTGTGGGGGCTGAGGGGTCCACGTTGGGCTGGGTGCCCTTGAGGTCATTGCCTCGGACCCTCTGGTGACCGGCAGAAGGGTGAAGAAAGGCATGCCCCCCCTTCCGTATCTAGTGTTTATAGGGTCTTCAACCATTATCACAAGGTCTAAAGTTTTTTTTATCTTGTAGCAGCTTTTATTCAAATAGTGAGCTTTGTTCCCAAAAAAGGTTTTCCTGTCCGTTTTAAACATTTCATGTAACTGATGATATTGTAGACAGTCTAACGTGGCTTGTTACACTTTCCATTGATTTCAGTTGGGAATGTATTGTAAAAGAATGAATTAATGAAATATAAACAACATAGGATGCTTTAATGGGTTAAACCACAGAGCCTAGGGCTTGCCAATCAGAAGGTTGGCGGTTTGAATCCCCGTGATAGGGTGAGCTCCCGTTGCTCGGTCCCTGCTCCTGCCAACCTAGCAGCTCGAAAGCATGTCAAAGTGCAAGTAGATAAATAGGTACCACTCCAGCAGGAAGGTAAACGGTGTTTCCGTGCGCTGCTCTGGTTCGCCAGAAGCGGCTTAGTCATGCTGACCACATGACCCGGAAGCTGTATGCTGGCACCCTCAGCCAATGAAGTGAGATGAGCGTCGCAACCCCAGAGTCATCCACGACTGGACCTAACAGTCAGGGGTCCTGTTACCTTTACCTTTCGGACACTTTAAAGATTTCTTTTCAGTCTTTCTATGTTTTCATTGTTCCTTTATTGCAATTAGAAAAATGGGCTTTATGCAGTTCTTATAACAGGGAATTGGACTACCATGACCCTTTAAACTCTACAGTTCTAGGATTCCAGAGCCAATTCTGCTTCCTAAACATCTCTGTTGTGTTCTACTTCTCGCAGCTCTCCATTCCCAACTCTCTCTGCCAAAGACCAAATATCAATGGAGTCTCAGCACATATTCAGTGTGGTGTAGTGTGGTGTAGTGGTTAAGAGCGGTAGTTTCGTAATCTGGGGAACCGGGTTCGCGTCTCCGCTCCTCCACATGCAGCTGTTGAGTGACCTTGGGCTAGTCACACTTCTCTGAAGTCTCTCAGCCCCACTCACCTCACAGAGTGTTTGTTGTGGGGGAGGAAGGGAAAGGAAAATGTTAGCTGCTTTGAGACTCCTGAAGGGGAGTGAAAGGCGGGATATAAAATCCAAACTACTCTTCTTCTTCTTCTTCTTCTTCTTCTTCTTCTTCTTCTTCTTCTTCTTCTTCTTCTTCTTCTTCACCACTCATGGGTCACATTCTGCACATTCCTAACAGTACATGGTATCTTTCATTATACTTACTATTATGAGACATTACCTTCATTGCTTTAATACATATATGTACATACAAACACCAGAACATCAAATACACTCCATGCATTTACAATTGATTTCCCCCTATATCAGTTTATTGATACGAGAGACAAAGTGAAATCTGTGTTGAAAACATAGCACACTCCATATGCCTAAATGGGTTCTCCCCTGGGAGACTCCGAAGATGTATATTAAGAACTCCATTTTAATTCAAACATTTCCACACTTTTTTCCATTTAAACAGTTACTTCTCTGTGAGATAGTTGATGTTTTCTAATACTTACACTCTTACTAAAGCACTTCCCGCACTCCAGACGTTTAAATGGTTTCTCACCCATGTGAGTTCGTTGATTAATAGAAAGTATTCCATTGTGACTGAAGCTCTGCCACAGTCTACACATTTAAATGGTTTCTCCCCTGTGTGAGTTCGTTGATGTACTGTCAGATTTGAAGCTTCACTGAAGCTCTATATTCCCATTTATTTAGTGAGAAATTCATGGGTTCAATTCTCCGCAGAGGCAGTGAAAGACGACCCCCCCCCCCCATTTCTAAGAAGCCTCCTCCTGGGAAGGGGTTTAGACCAGTAACTTAAGACAACACTAAGGGCTCGTCCAGTGTCATTTCAATGGGTACCTTTTTAAAAAAAGAGGGAGCTGATGGAGAAACTTAGACTTTGTTATATTTTCGGGGGGGGGGGTGCAGCTCAGTGGTAGAGCAGTTGCTTTGCATGCAGAAGGTCTCAGATTCCCATTTTCACATTTGGTGGGAGTGTACTGTCATCCACACTTCTGGGGAAAAGTTTTTTATCAGACCTCCAATAAACAGTCTATCCTTCCGAATTTAGCATTTGCCTTATTATAACCATATTAGACCCCATATTGTACGCTTTAATCTAAAATATTAATTTCCTTTCTGTTCGCAGCAGCTGGACTACAGTTATTGCCCAATGATGGAAGGAAACCTCTAGAATAACATTAGTGTGATTGGAGTCATCATTCTGTGATATTATGGCAGTTATTTATGTTATGTACTGAAGTTCTCACCCTGGGCCAGCAAGGGTATACTGTAGATAGTTTTCACTCAGGTCCACGTCACTTATTTTAGGCGGGAAACCCTGGGTTGTTATTGCTACAATGTTGACAGCCGGCTGCCTATAAAAGCAGGCCGTCTGAGCTGTTTGCTGTTGAGTTCTATTCCAGCTTACAAAATAAAGAGCTGCTTTGGAGAAATCGCTGTGTCGTCTGCCGTGTCTACTCACTATTCAACAATTTATACCCCTCCCATCTGGCTGGGTTTCCCAAGCCACTCTGGGCAGCTCCCAACAGAATATTAAAAACACAATAAAACATCAAACACCAAAAACTTTCCTAAACAGGGCTGCCTTCAGATGTCTTCTAAAAGTCAGCTAGTTGTTTATTTCCTTGACATCTGATGAGAAGGCGTTCTGCAGGTCAGGTGCCACCACCAAGAAGGTCCTCTGCCTGTACCACTTTAGCTAATGGGGCCTCCTGCTGCCGCCCCGCGATTTCTGTTCTCATCCTGAAGCAAAGTTCTTAACCCGAGGTACTATTTCTGGGTTAGTGGAGTCTGTAACCTGAAGCGTCTGTAACCCAAGGTACCACTGTATCAGTTTGCTGACATGAGGGACAAAGTGAACTGTGGGAAAAACTTGGCACACTCCATAAATCTAAAAGGGATCTCCCCTGTGAGAGTCGGTAGGTGTTTATTAAGAACTCCTTCCATTTAAACAACTGCTTCTCTGTGAGACCGTTGATGTTTTCTAAGAGTTCCATTCTCACTGAAGCGCTTTCCACACTCCAAACATTTAAATGGCTTCTCCCCTGTGTGAGTTCGCTGATGTCTTGTAAGAGCTCCACTCTCACTGAAGCACTTCCCACAATCCACACATTTAAATGGTTTCTCCCCGGTGTGACTTTGTTGGTGTACACTGAGTTTCCCACTACAAATGAAGCTCTTTCCACACTCCAAACATTTATATGGTTTGTCCCCTGTATGAGTTCGTTGATGTACAGTAAGGCTTCCACTCTCACTGAAGCACTTTCCACAAACCATACACTTATATGGTTTCTCCCCGGTGTGAGTTCGTAGGTGTACAGTAAGTATTCCATTGTGACTGAAGCTCTGCCCACACACTATACATTTAAAGGGTTTCTCCCCTGTGTGAGTTCGCAGATGTATGGTCAATTTTGAAGCTTCACTGAAGCTCTTTCCACACTCGATACAGTTATATGGTTTGACCCCTGTATGAATTCGTTGATGTCTTGTAAGTTTTCCACGACAACTGAAGCTCTTTCCACACTCCACACATTTATACGGTTTCTCCCCAGTATGAGTTCGCTGATGTACAGTAAGAATTCCTTTCCGACTGAAGCTCTTTCCACACTCCATACATTTAAATGGTTTCTCCCCTGTGTGAGTTCTGAGATGTATGGTAAGTTGTGGACCTTCAGTGAAGCTTTTTCCACACTCAATACATTTATATGGTTTCTCTCCTGCATGAGTTCGTTGATGTACAGTAAGAATTCCATTCCGATTGAAGCTCTTGCCACACTCCATACACCTGAATGGTTTCTCCCCTGTGTGAATTCGTTGATGTACAGTAAGCTTTCCCCTATCCCTGAAGCTCTTTCCACACTCCATACATTTAAATGGTTTCTCACCTGTGTGAGTTCGTAGATGTATATAAAGGTGTTCAGTCACATTGAAGCACTTTCCACACTCTAAGCACTTATATGGTTTCTCACCCGTGTGAATTCTTAAATGCACTGTCAGTTTTGAACCTTCACTGAAGCGCTTTCCACACTCCATACATTTAAATGGTTTTTCCCCTGTATGAGTTCGTTGATGTACAGTAAGGCTTCCACTTTGACTAAAGCTCTTTCCACATACCATGCATCTAAATGGTTTCTCTGCTGTATGAATTCGTTGATGTCTTGTAAGTTTTCCACTTGCACTGAAGCTCTTGCCACACTCCATACATTTAAATGGTTTTTCCCCTGTATGAATTCGTTGATGTATAGTAAGGTGGGAACACTGACTGAAGCTCTTTTCACACTCTATACATTTGTATGGTTTCTCCCCTGTGTGAGTTCGGAGATGGATAGTCAGCTGGGAACTTTCACTGAAGCTCTTTCCACATGCCATACATTTAAATGGTTTCTCCCCTGTGTGCATTTGTTGATGTTTTGTAAGTGCTCCAGTATCACTGAAACACTTTCCACAAACCATACATTTAAATGCTTTCTCTCCTGTGTGAATTTGTTGGTGTCTTGTAAGTTTTCCACTTTCACTGAAGCTCTTCCCACACGCCAAACATTTATATGGTTTCTCCCCCGTGTGTGATCGTTGGTGTACACTAAGGCTTCCACTACAAATGAAACACTTTCCACAAACCATACATTTAAATGGTTTCTCGCCTGTGTGAATTCGTTGATGTCTTGTAAGTGCTCCAGTTTCACTGAAGTTCTTTCCACACTCCAAACATTTATACGGTTTCTCCCCTGTGTGAGTTCGTTGATGCTTTGTACATGCTCCACTGTCACTGAAACTCTTTCCACACTCCATACATTTAAATGGTTTTTCCCCTGTATGAATTCGTTGGTGTATAGGAAGTTTTCCACTACAACTGAAGCTCTTTCCACATTCCATACATTTATATGGTTTTTCCCCTGTGTGAATTCGTTGATGTACAGTAAGAATTCCATTCCGACTGAAGCTCTTTCCACACTCCATACATGTAAAGGGTTTCTTCCCTGTGTGACTTTGTAGATTTGTGATAAGATGCTCACTCACACTGAAGCACTTCACAGATGGTCCTTCAGAATTCTGACTCCCTTCTCCATCGTCTGCTTGAGAGTAGGGGAAAATAAAACCTTGTTAGAATTTCAAGGAAGAGAACAAGAGAACATACAGTAAGACCACCACTTTCTCTTTACACCACTGACCTGATTTTCAGGAAAGGGAAGAATTCCTAACAATAGTTTCAGGAACTGTTAGTATCCAATACGACCTTCAGCTCCCAAGTAACTCTGAACAAAAAAGAGGAACCTTCCATGCAGATGTAGGAGCCAGATGTGGTTGAACTCAAAGTACCATCAGCCCAAGCAGGCATGTCCAATGGCCAGTGGTGATAGGAATTTCAGTGCAGTAACATCTGTAGGGACTCACTATCTCCCTCTTTCGCTTCTTCTGCAAATGCTACATATCTGCAGTCCATTTTCTCCTTCCTCCGTGAACTGTATCATCTTCCTGATACATTCCAACCAACTGTACACATTCCCCAATCTTGCACTGTGTCTCCACTGTCAGAACCACCCACCATTTCAGTAGCTGTCATTTAGTTCTCAGCTAATCTTCTCCCCCCACCTTTGGAAATATTATTTATCTGAATCCAAGTGGCTGGGAATCGTGAATGGGGAGAGCTTTGGTACTCAGGCCCTGCTGGTGGGATTCTCCCTGGTTGGTCCTTGTGAGAAGATGACGCTGGACAAGATGGTCCCTCATTTTGATCCAGCAAGGCTCATACTCACTGAAACAAAGGAATCAAACCTACAGTGTCACAGCAAAGTGGAAGCACCTACCTCTCCATTTGTCCTGGACAACATCTCTGTATTCTTCTGTCTCAAGCAAGAAGAGCTCGGACTTGGGTATCAGAATCTCTCCTGTGTGGAATAAGTAAAAGAGACCTGCTATTTATGTCATATGCAAAAATATTCAAAAATAATCATCTGAAGCAAAGAGAACAAAATATATGATGGCTAATAAACATATTAAAGGCTAATAAACATATTATGGGCTGCAATCTGGCGGGCTGCAATCTGGTGATGTGCACTGTGGACCAGGAAAACTGAAGCCACCAGGTCCTGCTGCAGCCTATTTATTCAATGTATTTGTTACTTTTGGGGGTATGGGAACTCAACACAACTTACAATATTTTAGTCCAAAAACAAAACAAATACATACATTAAAACCAGCATTTAAAATACACATTTGGGGGGCGGGTCCTGCTGGCTATGGAGTAAGCAGCAAAAACTGAGAGCCCCCAGAGAAAATATTTTAAAAGATGAATTTCTCTGAAAAACAAGTATTATGAAGCAAAGAATACAGGTTAGTCCTTAAGAAACTTTTCAAGCAGGAATGTAACCTGGAGTAGTGAAATAATAAACAGTACTACAGTGGTAGCTCCGTTTTCGAACGTAATCTGTTATGGTAGACCGTTTGAGTTCTGAAGTGTTCAAAAACCAAAAACTCAGCAGCCAACAGCTAGGCCTCGGAATCTTGCACTCAGCAGAAGCCGCATGGCATGTTTGACTTTTGAGGCGTGTTCAAAAACCAAAGCATTAATTTCCGGGTTTACGGCATTCGAAAACCAAAATGTTAGTCAACGGAGACATTTGAAAACCGAGGTACCACATGGATAATGAAATAAGGATTTCAACCTTAAACATTAAAGGGTGGAGGTTGATTAGGAAAAGGAGGAGGATAGAAACATTACTGAATAAAGATAAAGCAGATATAATATTTTTACATGAAATGCATCAGAAGAAAGAGGGGGTTAATGAACACAGACTGAGAGGTATAAATAATTATGAAAAAGCACCTGGTACTTCAAAATCAAGAGGGGTAGCAACTACAATTTCAAAGAGATGCTGGTTTAGTATATTAAAAATGAAGAAAGATCCTGAGGGAAGATGCATTATAATTCAAGGAACAATAGCAGGGGGGAATACATTATAATTAATATTTATGTTGCTAATGAAAATCAGGTGGAATTTTTTGATAAAGTATTTAAGGAAATGGAGGATATTCCAAAGGGCCATATGATTGTGGCAGTATATTTCAATATGGTATTAGATAAACAATTGGATAAGTCAAATCCTACCTCAGAGGAAAGATGTAATAACATTACAGGATTAGCTAAAATTATGAAAAGATACAAAAGATGTTTGGAGAGTGATGAAGGGAGGAGAGAAGAATTTTTTTCTTCTCACCAGTGCATAAGACCTACTGAAGGATCAATTATATCTTCGTTTCAAAAAACTTAATATCAAAAATACTGAATATGGAAATTGGAATAATAAAGGTAACTGACCACACATTGGTTAATAGGGTATTGAAAATAAGGAAAGATTACAAGGAAGCCAGAAGATGGAGGTTAGATACAAGGATCTTCAATAATAGTCAAACAGTAAATAAGATAGCGAAATACCATATTTTTTCGTCTATAAGATGCCCCCATGTACAAGACGACCCCTATTTTTTGAGCCCGAAATTAAGAAATAAATAATTTTATGTATAAATGTATCAATAAAAACCAATGTGGCTTTGTAGCAGGATAGATGTCTAGTTTAATAAAAAGAGTGTTGAATAAAATAGGTATAAGAAGAAGAAATAAATTGAAAGCTGGTATAGTAGCATTTTAAGCGTTAAAAATGATTATAGAAAGCTTAGGATTTGGAGAACGATTTAAGGGATTAATAAAGCAATTATATTTGAGGAACAAGGCATATGTCGTAGTACACGATGGTATAACAAAACAAATAACATTATCCTGGGGCACCAAACAAGGATGTCTCCTTTCTCATTTTATTTGTATTGGTCATTGAAACTCTGGCCAATGTAATTATAGAAAAGGTAAAGGACCCCTGACAGTTAAGTACAGTTGAAAACGACTCTGGGGTTGCGGCGCTCATCTCGCTTTACTGGCCAAGGGAGCCAACGTTTGTCCGCAGACAGTTTTTCTGGGTCATGTGGCCAGCATGACTAAGCTGCTTCTGGCGAAACCAGAGAAGCGCACGGAAATGCTGATTACCTTCCCGCCGGAGCGGTACCTATTTATCTACTTGCACTTTGACATGCTTTTGAACTGCTAGGTTGGCAGCAGCAGGGAGAGAGCAACGGGAGCTCACCCCGTTGTGGGGATTCGAACAACTGACCTTCCGATCGGCAAGCCCTAGGCTCAGTGGAAATATAAAAGGAATAAGTAATAAAGGAAAATTATTTACAGATGAAACCTTGCAAACAATCAAAAACCCATTGGAAAATATGCAGGTAACAGAGGCACATTTGAAAAAATTTGGATAAAAAACAGGGTTGCAAATTAATTGGTCCAAATCAGAGATGGTGATGTTGAACTATGATGAAGATGAAAAATGAATTGAAAAAAATAAAAATAAGAAATGTAATAAATTACTTGGGAATAAAGATAACAAGAAATTTAGAAAATTCAGAAGAAGAGAAACTTAACAAATTAAAGAAGGAAATTAAGGAAAAGCTGGAGGAATATAAGAAAATTAAGCTTTCATGGTTTGGAAGAATAGTGATAATGAAAATGAAAATTTTGTCCAGAATAATTTTTTTATTTAGAATCTTACCAATTAAGATATCAGAGACAGAGTTAAAGAGTTGGCAAAGTATGATCAATAAATTTTGTAATGGGGTAAGAAACCTAGAGTTAGTAAAAGAAGATGGTATAAACCCCAGAAAGCAGGTGGACTGGGTCTCCGCGACATAAAGTTATGTTATATAGCAAATATATATAGCAAATCATTTAATATATATCATAGATGGCATAACAGAACAAGGAGAGTCAGAATGGTTAGAGAGTGGTACACAGGAAATCAGGGAGAAGTTAGTGAATATATTTTTTATCAAATCAAATAGGCAATGTTGGCAAAATATTGAAAATCCCTTATTAAGAAATGTCATTGCCCGGACGCTGAGGTCCAGCGCCGAGGGCCTTCTGGCGGTTCCCTCATTGCGAGAAGCAAAGCTACAGGGAACCAGGTAGAGGGCCTTCTCGGTAGTGGCGCCTGCCCTGTGGAACGCCCTTCCAGCAGATGTCAAAGCGATAAACAACTACCTGACATTCAGAAGACATCTCAAGTTCAGGGAAGTTTTTAACGTGTGATATTTTAGTGTATTTTTGGTTTCTATGGAAGCCGCCCAGAGTGGCTGGGGAGGCCCAGCCAGATGGGCGGGGTATAAATAATAAATTATTATTATTATTATTATTATTATTATTATTATTGGCGAAATAGAAAGAAAAATTGATACCAGCAAATTCCCCACTTACTCTGGTGGTGATGATAGAAGACTTGCTAGTAAATTGAATATGGGAAATTGAAAAAGATGCTAAAGAGAAGAAAATACTTAAAATAAAGGATTGGGTGGAGAAAATGAGAAGAAAGAACAAATAAGAGAAGCTCTAACACGAAGTAGAATAACTTGGTTTTACTGTATACAACTGGAGCAATGGACAAAGAAGTGGTTAAGGGAAAACAAGATCTGTAAATATACAAAATTTGGGGGGGGAAAGATTATAAAAAGGGGAGATAAAGAAGAAAACACAGTTATAAAAGGGAAAACCAATGAAATTATAAAATATTGGTAGAAATGGAAGATCAAGAAGATCAATTAAAAGAGGTGTGGGAAAAGGAGACAACAGGGCAGATAGATAGTCAAAGCTGGGAAATATGGGAGAAACGGATGTTGAAAATGTTGTCTATAAGAATAAAAGAAAATTATTATAAATTAGTTTGAAGATGGTATTTAACACCAGTCAGACTGAATCAAATAAACGACGAATATTTGGTGTTATGTTGGAGCGGATGCCAGGAAGCAAGGAATTATGTTCCCATATAGTGGGGGTGTAAATATGTACAATTTTTTTAGGCAAGGGGTGTTTAAGGAGATAACAGAAATCAATGGGTAAAAGCTGACCAACAGACCATAAGTAGCATTGTTACCATAGAATCATAGAATCATAGAGTTGGAAGAGACCACAAGGGCCATCGAGTCCAACCCCCTGCCAAGCAGGAAACACCATCAGAGCACTCCTGACATATGGTTGTCAAGCCTCTGCTTAAAGACCTCCAAAGAAGGAGACTCCACCACACTCCTTGGCAGCAAATTCCACTGTCGAACAGCTCTTACTGTCAGGAAGTTCTTCCTAATGTTTAGGTGGAATCTTCTTTCTTGAAGTTTGGATCCATTGCTCCGTGTCCGCTTCTCTGGAGCAGCAGAAAACAACCTTTCTCCCTCCTCTATATGACATCCTTTTATATATTTGAACATGGCTATCATATCACCCCTTAACCTCCTCTTCTCCAGGCTAAACATGCCCAGCTCCCTTAGCCGTACCTCATAAGGCATCGTTTCCAGGCCTTTGACCATTTTGGTTGCCCTCCTCTGGACACGTTCCAGTTTGTCAGTGTCCTTCTTGAATTGTGGTGCCCAGAACTGGATACAGTACTCCAGGTGAGGTCTGACCAGAGCAGAATACAGTGGCACTATTACTTCCCTTGATCTAGATGCTATACTCCTATTGATGAGGCCCAGAATTGCATTGGCTTTTTTTAGCTGCTGCGTCACACTGTTGGCTCATGTCAAGTTTGTGGTCAACCAAGACTCCTAGATCCTTTTCACATGTACTGCTCTCAAGCCAGGTGTCACCCATCTTGTATTTGTGCCTCTCATTTTTTTTTGCCCAAGTGCAATACTTTACATTTATCTTTCCCTATGTTCCTTATTAATCTTCTTTCTCCACTCCAGCTACCAAGTGTCTCACTTAAGCACCTCTCCATTCTGTTCGGCTGGCTACTTGAACAAGGACATGAAGGAATCTTATTGCCTAATTCCCCATGTAGTTGGTTATGCAAGAAGCTGGACCCCATGATACAGTGTAGGAACTCACTAATGTTACATGGGAGTAGCAATGTAGGAGAAGTATGTTTAGTGTGCATTTTAAGGCAAATCTACCTAATCCAAATCAACATTTCAACTGAAAATCAGCTATCCTTTCAAAATTCACACTTCCCCAAATTTCTTGATGTAGATACCTGACCATATGTGTATAGAAATGCATGTATTAATGGAAAGTGTGCATGAAAATGCATGTAATATGAGTGAAAATAACATGCAGAAATATGTTACAAAAGGAGAATTGCTTGCAAAACTGTACAGACTCGTCAAAATTTCATCTTAAAACGTGTATATTTGGCTGCTAAATGTGTGCTAAAATGCTGATGGGGAACTCTGGGGAGACCGGTTATGCTATGGAATATGGATAGGAGTTAAGATTAAACTTTCATGTCAGGGGATTATGTCCATATCTGTCTAGAGTGGGCGCACTGCTTTGCCAGGAGGAGACAGCACAAAATGTACCTCAGTGCTGATCCAGTTTGGCACTGCAGAAATTCAGCAGAACTTTAAGAGACAGCATGATAAGGTTGGCCCTGAAGCTACAGGGAAATTTACGATGGGGTGGAAGGTTCGCAGGCTAAACTTGCTCACAAATTTATTGACTGCTGCACGAATTATGATAGCTAGGAAGTGGAAGGGGCAAGCAGAATATAGAATCATAGAATCATAGTTGGAAGAGACCACAAGGGCCATCGAGTCCAACCCCCTGCCATATAAAATGGAAGAATGGTTTAAAGAGGTGTGGGATATAGCTATTAATGATAAATTAACATGTGCCATTAAGCTAAGACGAGGAATATGCAGGAGAAATAATTTTGAGGAGATATGGAGGGTGTGTGTAGAATTTCTACTGTTAAAACAGAAAGGGGTCAAGCCATCTCAAGAGGTGCTGAAATATTGGAGGTTGGATAATTACAACGGAATGGCCTCGGTGATGGGGTGCACATTTTTATTCCTACTTATCTATGATTATTACTTTGTCAAAATAAAATGAAAAATAAATAAAAATATAAAACACATTTTTTAGCTTCCCCACTATGCACCTTCCCACAGCTTTCTTGTCTTGGGGCTCCCTGTCCATGAGTTTCTCTACCTGGAGTCAACAAGCGAGGTCAATTCACTGCTGGGATGGGGTTGTTCCAAGACAGGTAGAGGCATAGAGCCTCTCAGTTTTGTGAAGATTTTTGGAATGTTTTTATTTTGCTGCTGTAGCGGATCCAACCACTTACCACCAATTAATCGTGTGGCGGACTCACCCCGCTAACTGCCCCCAATTAAATATTGCGCGCACACCTCACTGTATGCCAATTACACCGAGTTTCACCATTTACCACGGGTTATTGTGTGGGGGACTTTTGTGAGGGAAAAATTAGTGATTTAGAGTCTCAGGCAGGAGTTGATCCAACAGACAGGAAAAGTTTCACTAAATAAAAAGAGGTTGTGGAACCAAGTGGGTCAGGAAACGTGTCCTTTCGAGTAGAACCTATTACTAAAACGAGACATAAAGATGTCACAAGCTTAAAGACAATACTATAGGCCACAGCTCTTCTTAAACTTCAGTTGCTAAAGAAATAAGTTGGTACACTTCAGGCAGGTGTTCTGGTCTCCAAATTAGGTGGCAAAATGCTTGACTCAGTTTCTGTTAACTGAAGGAGTGTCTCCACCCCCATCGTTCTGCCCGGACACTGAGGTCCAGCGCCGAGGGCCTTCTGGCGGTTCCCTCACTGCGAGAAGCCAAGTTACAGGGAACCAGGCAGAGGGCCTTCTCGGTGGTGGCGCCCGCCCTGTGGAACGCCCTCCCACCAGATGTCAAGGAAATAAACAACTATCTGACATTTAGAAGACATCTGAAGACAGCCCTGTTTAGGGAAGCTTTTAATGTTTGATGTATTACAGTATTTTAATTTTTTTTTTTGGAAGCCGCCCAGAGTGGCTGGGGAAGCCCAGGCAGATGGGCGGGGTATAAATAATAATTTATTATTATATTATTATTATTATTAGTTATAAGAGGTGGTTCAATTAAATAATACAACACAGCTTCCTTCACTAATCAATGCCCTGGTTCATGAGCGAGGGGCACTTTCCCTCTCTAAGCAACCCCACTCCTGAGGTAATTCAAAAATGGCATGGCAGACACAGGGGGTCCCCTCCCCCCTTATGACTGACTTGGGGGTCCTCTCTCCCTAGAAGATCTGCCCCCTCCTGACTGGAAGGAGACCCAGGGGAACCTAAATTCCCCCAGGATCTGCTTCTCCTGCCTCAGAGTCAGCCCTCCCAGGACACTCCTGCCTGTAGACTAGGCATTCCCAAACTCGGCCCTCCAGATGTTTTGGGACTACAATTCCCATCATCCCTGACCACTGGTCCTGTTAGCTAGGGATGATGGGAGTTGTAGTCCCAAAACATCTGGGGGCTGAGTTTGGGGGTGCCTGCTGTAGACCTTCCCCAGACCCTCGATTGGGTCTCCCTATCCAAGCTGGGAGGGTCTTTCCTCTGGCTATGGACAGTCTCCTCAGAGTGGGTCTATGACTCAAACCAGAACCAGTTCTCCCTCAGTCAAATCCTATCCTCCTCCCTAAATCCCACCTCAAAACAATCCCTCTCCATCTTCTCTCAAATCAAACTCTCTCCCTCAGAAACGGCTCCTTTTATTTTCCCTCCAAAAGTGTTGCTGGCCAATCAGAGAGAGGCTCCATCCCTCTGGTGGAATTTCTGTGGGACTGAATGACCAGACTCTGGTCATCCATCACAACTGCCTTTCCCTCCATTTTTTGCTCAATCGGCATTTTAGACATACGACCGAAAGGGCGTGTGTTTTATTCTAGCACCCGCCTCGGTTGTCATACCAATGTAGCTATCTCTCATTCATTCCAACTGAAAGCTCAAAGTAAACACAAATGCCAAACAGGGGGCATGGAAATTGTTAAAAAAAGGGGGGGGGACTAGACATGCCAATCAGGGCTGGTGCAGCTTCGCCTCTCTCTGTCTCTCTGTCACACTCACACACACACAGCAATGACTGCAGGCTGTAGCAGTTGCGATGGCTGCAGCTAGGCAGGGTGCACAAGCCGCTCTATTTCTCTTCTCCTTCTCCCCTTTTCTCAGCAGGTCCCCCTCCATTGAGGAGTGTCCCTCACATCTACAGAATTTCCTCAAGCAGCAACCGTGCCATTTCCTCAAGCAATTTCAAAGAGGACGGTGTGTGGGCATGCAATGGATTTCACAACTCTCTTGAGCCAGCCCCACAGGGAGGGCGTATCTCCACAGGATATTTCTACCTGAAAAGGTGGCAGTTGCTGTGCTCCCTATCCTTTTTCAGTGGCTTTATAATAAATTATTTTTATTATTATTATTATTATTATTATTATTATTATTATTATTACCCTGCCCATCTGGCTGGGATTCCCCAGCCACTCTGAGCAGTTTCCAACAAAATATTAAAATCCAGTAATGCATCAAACATTCAAAACTTCCCCAAACAGGGCTGCCTTCAGATGTCTTCAAAAAGTCTGGTAGTTGTTGTTCTCTTTGACATCTGGTGGGAGGGCGTTCCACGGGACGGGCGCCACCGCTGAGAAGGCCCTCTGCCTGGTTCCCTGTAACTTGGCTTCTTGCAGGGAGAGAACTGCCAGAAGGCCCTCTGAGCTGGACCTTAGTGTCCAGGCTGAGCGACGGGGGTGGAGAGGCTCCTTTAGCGAAAGAGGTGGGGCCATCTGTTGTGGATGCTTTAGGGAAGTTTTTTTTATGTTTGACTCCATTTTTAATATTCTGTTGGGAGCCGCCCAGAGTAGCCACAGGGGCTGGGTATAAATAAATAAATATTATTATTATTATTATTATTGGAGTTCCCTACGATTCTACAAGATGGGGGGGCGGAGGGAGGGGAGAGGAGGGAGGCAGCTCCCCCACAGCCCTGAACAATAGAGAGTATCTCACTTACATGGGATTTGGGAGGGAAGGAGAGGAGGAGGCAGCAGGTGTTCTTACATTGTCACTACACAGCATGAATAAATGGCACAAAGGTTCCCACCTTCAATGTCTAGCAGCCAAGAGGGATAAAAATCTGCCCTTACCTAGAGAGGCCACCATCTCATAATTCTCCTCCATGACTTCCTTGTGCAGAGCTCTTTGGCCAGGATCCAGCAGAGCCCACTCCTCCTCCGTGAAAAACACAGCCACCTCCTCAAAGGTCAAGAGGGCCTGGAAGAAGAAGAGGAAGAAAACAGAGCTGCTCTTAGATCCCCATCACCCCACTCAACACAGAGGGAGGCTGGGTGGTCCCATCTGTGCCTCTTCCCTCCTCCCTGCTCCCGTTGCTCTTTCCCTACCTGAGGAAGCTGCCAGGCTCCTCTTTCCACTCCACCTCTAAGAAGAGACGGTCCAAACAGTGCCTCTGAGGCCATTGCACTGGCTGTAGGCGATTTGGAGGAGGCGTAAACTGGGCCACTTCTGGGACTCTCTCAGCTGTTGTCACGATGTACTTCAAAGCAGGAACAATAGAGAAAGGCAGATTTATTTACACAGATGGCAGACCTTTGCCTGGGGAACAAATATTAAGTAGAGCTAGACAACCTCTGGAATTGGCAAAAGGTGCATCAAACTTTCTAACAATCCTTGCATTAATTGCACATGTCTCCAGACCTTTAACTCAAGGTCACTCAGGAGCTGCGTAGCAAAGTGTGGGTCTCCCTGGTCCAAGTCCAGCACCCTAACTGTGGGCTGGGGAACCTCAGTAGCAGGGGCCAAATCCAGCCCTTGAGGCCTCTGCAATCTGCCAGGACACCCCCCCCCCTTTTAAAATCACTGCCCTGGATCCTCCTATTGCATGGCTGGAAAGGACCCTTGGAATGAATGTAGCTACTGGACAAATGTCAAATTTGCATCCATAGCTCCACCCACCCTGATCTCTGGCCCCACCCATCAATGGAATGTGGCCCCTGGACGACTGTTCAGAAGGGAATGTGGCCCTCTGGCTGGAGAACACGCCCACACCCGTTACAACAGCTATATTTTACTGAGACTGACCCACCTTACAGGGCTGTTGTGCTTTCATCCCGCCCCACCTTATTACTAGGCCCTCCTGGGGTGAGGGTGGCAGCGAGACCCTCAGGACTGCTGCACTCGGCCAATCCTGAAACGCCCCCTCGAATCCATTTCTGTCCCCAGAAATTCCAGTTGGGGAGGGGGCGTTTAATTCCTCTCCAGTCTTTGCCATAAGGATATTTAAAGGTCCCCTAAGAATCTAATCAGCTTCAAATCCTGCCACCCATTTGCTTTGGCCCACCTTGCAGGGTTCTTGTGTGAGCATTGCCCAGGTGGTGGGTTTTAGATCACCTACAGTATTATAAGACCCTCCTTATAAGGCCAGGCAGGAGTGAGGCTGGCAGCACAGGCAGAGAAAGTCCCTCAGCACCTCTGTGCTGGGCCAATCCTGCAAGGCAGACCAGGTCTCCCACCCCTGGGGGCTTTGATTCTCCTTCCCGACAAAGTCCCAAGAGGATATCTGGAGAAGCCTCTTTTTGGAAAGATGCAGCCATAAAAAAATTATTCCCCCTCCTCTTTCCCCCAAGTCCAGCTGGGGAGGGCGCATTTCTTTAATTCCTCCAATCCTTCCATTGGAGCTTTTTAAAGGGCTCCTGAGACCTTGATCAGTTTCAATTCCTGCCATCCATGGGCCCAATTCCCTTGCCAAGCAGGAGGGAAACCGACAAGGTGCTTTTTCATGCTTCAGGAAATCAGGAATGCGCCTCTTCCCTCCAGTTTTGGGGAACAAAAGCAGCACAGCAAACCCCCCCAAGTGCACCCCCCAACATGGGAACCCAACAAGGCTCTTTCCTTTGTGCCAAAGCAACCTCAGCCGGCCAGACTAGGATTTCTGAAAGGGGAGCTGGGGGGGGGGCAGACCGGCTCCCTGACGCAGGAGGCTAAGGGAGGGGGGTGTTCCAGGCTCAGTGTGAAGAAATACATAAAAATGGGTTAGGAGGCTGGGTCTAAGGGGGGGGGGGTGTCACCTGGTGCCTTACAGTGCATAGGTGCCAGCTCCCTGGGTCCCTGAGCACCCACCCAATTCCCCATGAAGGGGCCGGGCACCCACAAATTTCGGTGCCAGGGCCATGCATACTGAATGGCACCCACAGCCCCGGGGACCCACGGTCGTGGGGTGAAACTGGCACAACTGGTTCCGTGTCCCAGTCAGGTTGCATGGGGGGTGCGGGGGGGGGAGAACCCTTCTCTGGTTCGTCTCGAGAAGCAAAATCTCTCTCCCCCCCCCCCGGAGTCTGGCTGATCTCTCCGCTTCCAAGAGGATCCTGCAATGCAAACCTTGTTTGGGGGAGAGGACGCCCCCCCCTTTTGCAGCCGATTGCAGACTGGCTCTCCTGGTTCTCAGAGGGAAAGGGGGGAGCCCTTCCTGGCTTTAATGACCCCCTCACCTTTCCCCCCCTCCCGCCCTATTTGTAGATTCATGGGGAGGAAATGCAAATTCTTGCACCCCAAATCACGCCCCTCCCGAAACATTGCACCTTTTTCCTCCTCCTTTGCAGGCCTCCTTCTCTTCCGAGGATGTGCATGGAGACCCCACCCCTCAACATTGCCTCTACCCCCCCCTGCTCCGTCACTTCCTGCCTCTCTAGGAAGCGAGTTCGTTCACCCAGGGTGACCCCCCCTCCCTGCAAGCAGAGACCTAGGAATGTAGTGGGAAGGGACTCCCCGCCCCGAAGGTCATGGAGCCCAGTGTCCCTCAGCATTTTTCCGACCATGGCCCCCTCCCGACCTTCTTTTCTTCCTTTGCCCCCCCCCCCGACGGTAGAAAGGTAGCTATTTAAATGTTTTGCTTCTACATAGACCTTTTTTATTTATAGTTTTTATTTATAAATCTACTACGAAGCACGGGCACTTTCTGCTTTTCTTTCTTCACTTCTCACTTCCCTCTGTGGCCCCCGAGTCTCGTGCCCTGGCCCCCCATTTACACGATGTTCACCTGTGGCCCCCTTGGAATATCCATATGCCCCGCTTTAGAAACACTGTTTTAGTCTACCTGGGAGTAAACCCCATTGAATTGAGTGGGACTGACTTCTGAGTAAACATCCTGTTCAAGCCTAAGGATTTTTATTCAGAAGTAATTCCCACTGAGTTCTATACGACAGATTTTCCCAACTGGGCAAGTTCTGCAGAAGCTGTTGAAAAGAAAGTCATAGACCCCACTTTTGAGATTTTTTCCTGTCTCTACGGTAGTTTCTGTTGTGTGAATGGTGCTGTGGATCCCGGGGGGGGGGTTACCTGGAGTGGGCAGACTACCTATTGGGAACAGCTACTTTAGCGCTCTGATTTCAGGAGCCCCTTATGGTTTCTCCCCATGGGTTTCATTTTGGGGAAAATTAGCAATGAGCCTACAGTGAAGCATTTTGCACACTTTTGTCACACGCCTGCTTGATTCAAGATGCCCCCACACTCCCCTGTGCCACCTTCCCATGTCCTGCAAAACATGCAGAGAGGAGTTGGGTCTTTCCTGGTACTCCCACTAAACACTCCCTTTATTCCTGAGACCCTACCTGCCCGCAGACCTGTTTTGCCTGAGTGGTGCATGCTCTAGTTACCTCCCACTTGCACTACTGCAATGCGATCTGCTTGGGGCTACCTTTGAAGGTGACCCAGAAACTACAACTAATCCAGAATGTGGCAGCCACTGAGATGATATAACATTGGTCCTAAAGTATCTTCACTGGCTCCCAGTATGTTTACGAGCACAAGTCAAAATGTTGGTGCTGGCCTAAACAGCCTTGGCCCAGTATACCCGAAGGAGCGTCTCCACCCCCATCATCCAGACTGCACAATGAGGTCCTCCTCTGATGGTCTTTTGGTGGTTCCCTCTGTGAGAAGTTACAGGGTAGCAGGCAGAGGGCCTTCTCGGTAGTGGCGCCCTCCCATCAGATGTCAAAGAGATAAACAGCTACAGTGGTACATCTGGTTGCGAATGCCTCTGGTTGCGCACGCTTCGGGTTACAAGCTCCGCCACCCCAGGAGTAGCCGCTCCTGGTTGCGAACTTTGCCCCAGGATGCGAGCGGAAATCGCACACCAGAAGCATGCATGCAGCAGGAAGCACCATTAGCGAAAGCACGCCTCATGCTACGAGCAGTTTCCGGTTATGAATGGACCTCCGGAATGGATTCCATTAGTAACCAGAGGTACCACTGTACACAACTTTCCTAAACATAGTTCTGTAGCAGGAAGCATTTAATAATTGATGTTTTGTGTGTTTTTATTCTGTCAGAAGTAGTCCAGAGTGTCTGGCTCAACCCAATCAGATTATTATTATTATTGCTTGTCACAAAAGCAGTAGCCCTGGGGTTGCTACATGATGCTTAGGAGTGAAAATGGACTGACTAGGGGATTCAATGGTACCTGCAGCATCTTTTCTTTCCAAAATTGTTCCATTCTTCCACTGAGTTGTGTTTGTGCCACAGATGGAGAGGTAAGGGTTAATTTCACACATGTGGACCCCTCCCTGTGCCCTATTGGTTGGAAGGAAGTTTCTTGTTGGCTGCAATAGTGGGGTAAAGGTAAAGGGACCCCCTGACCATTAGGTCCAGTTGTGACCGACTCTGGGGTTGCAGCGCTCATCTTGCTTTATTAGCCGAGGGAGCCGGTGTACAGCTACTGCGTCATGTGGCCAGCATGACTAAGCCGCTTCTGGCGAACCAGAGCAGCACACGGAAACGTCGTTTACTCAGTTTATTGGCCAAGGGAGCCTACAGCTTCCGAGTCATGTGGCCAGCATGGCTAAGCCGCTTCTGGCGAACCAGAGCAGCACACGGAACCGCCCTTTACCTTCCCGCCAGAGCGGTACCTATTTATCTACTTGCACTCTGACGTGCTTTCAAACTGCTAGGTTGGCAGAGAAGGGATCGAACAAAGGGAGCTCACCCCGTCGCGGAGATTCAAACCGCCAACCTTCTGATTGGCAAGTCCTAGGCTCTGTGGTTTAACCCACAGCGCCACCTGCGTCCCTGCTGTAATAGTAGGTATGCTTCTAGACCCCCACTGCCCTGTTGCCACCTTCCCACCTCATGCAAAATGCACAGCTAAGAGCTGAGACTTTCCTGCCTCTTCCACTAAACACCCCCTTTACTCCTGCTGCCACCAGCTATGTTTTATCTGAACACTTTGCCCTTCACAGAATGAGGAGGCATAGCAGCACTATTAATGTATGACCTACAGACCATGTACAGTATTCAGGTTTACTTTATGCAGATAAGAAGTTGCTTTCAGCCTGTTTCTTATTTGTTGCTTTATTGCAGTTAAAACAATGCGCCTCATGCCACCGTTCCTATAATACTAGTTTAACCAACTCTTTTTGCAAAGCAACACCACGAATCTCACACTCCCATTTTTCACAACTATCCATTCCTAACTCCAAACATCAACTTTTCCAACTCTCTCGACCAAAGACTGAAATTCAGCCGACTCTTAGGCCATCATCACTAAACACAACTCCAGATTCACACTCCTTCTCCCTATCTAACAATACAAAGCAGCTTATACTTTACTAAGTATTATGAGACGTTACCTTCATTACTTTACTACATGAATGTACAACTTTACATTGAAACACCAGAATATCACATACACATAATGCGTTTAGATTTGATTTCTGCCTATAGGAACCTGTTCATCTGAAGGAAGAAGTGAACTCTTGAGGGGAAACTTTCTACCCTCCATACACCTAAATGGTTTCTCCCCTATGAGTCTGTAAACATTTTGTATGTACTTTATTAAACTGAAGCACTTCAATTTCACATGTGGTGGGGTCGCAAAAAACAAAAAAAGAATCTTCTGACTGAAGTTCTTTCCACACTCCATACGCCTACATGGTTACTCCCTTGTGTGAGTCCGTTGATGATTTCTAAGTGTTCCACTACAGATGAAGCTTTTTCCACATTCAATACATTTATATAGTTTCTCCCCTGTGTGAGTCTGTTGATGTTTTCTAAGCGTTCCACTCTCAGTGAAGCTCTTTCCACACTCCATACATTTATATGGGTTCACCCCTGTGTGAATTCGCTGATGCTGTCTCAAATTTCCACTGTGACTGAAGCACTTCCCACACTCCATACATCTAAATGGTTTCTCCCCTGTATGAGTTCGTTGATGTACAGTAAGGTATCCATTGTCACTGAAGCTCTGCCCACACTCCATACATTTATATGGTTTCTCCCCCGTATGAATTCGTAGATGTGTTGTAAGAGTTCCATTCCGACTGAAGCTCTGCCCACACTCCTCACATTTAAACGGTTTCTCCCCTGTGTGAATTCGTTGATGTACGGTAAGATTTCCGCTTTCGCTGAAGCTCTTTCCACACTCCATACATTTAAATGGTTTTTCCCCTGTATGTGTCCGTACATGTATGGTAAGTTTTCCATTTTCACTGAAGCTCTTCCCACACTCCATACATTTAAATGGTTTCTCCCCTGTGTGAGTCTGTAGATGTGTTGTAAGACCTCCACTGTGACTGAAGCTCTTCCCACATTCCATACATTTAAATGGTTTCTCCCCTGTGTGAGTTCGTTGATGTCTAGTAAGGTGTGAACACTGTCTGAAGCTCCTTCCACACTCAATACATTTAAAGGGTTTCTCCCCTGTGTGATATCGTTGATGTATAGTAAGGTGTGAGCACTGAAGGAAACACTTGCCACACTCCAAACATTTAAATGGTTTCTCCCCAGTGTGACTTTGCTGATGCACAGTGAGTCTCGAACTACAAATGAAGCACATTCCACACTCCACACATTTATATGGTTTCTCCCCTGAGTGAGTTCGCTGATGTCTTGTAAGAGTTCCATTCTCACTGAAGCACTTCCCACACTCCATACATTTAAATGGTTTCTCACCTGTGTGAGTTCGTTGATGAACGCTAAGATTTCCGCTTTCACTGAAGCTCTTTCCACACTCCATACAGTTAAATGGTTTTTCCCCTGTATGAGTTCGCATATGTATGTTAAGTTTTCCATTTTCACTGAAGCTCTTCCCACACTCCATACATTTAAATGGTTTCTCCCCTGTGTGAGTCTGTAGATGTCTTTTAAGATCTCCACTGTGACTGAAGCTCTTTCCACACTCCATACATTTAAATGGTTTCTCCCCTGTGTGAGTTCGTTGATGTTTAGTAAGGTGTGAACACTGCCTGAAGCTCCTTCCACACTCAATACATTTAAAGGGCTTCTCCCCTTTGTGAATTTGTTGGTGTTTTGTGAGAGATACACTGTGACGGAAGCTCTTTCCACACTCCGTACATTTAAAGGGTTTCTCCCCTGTATGAATTCGTAGATGTGTTGTAAGAGTTCCATTCCGTCTGAAGCACTTTCCACACTCCACACATTTAAATGGTTTCCCCTCTGTGTTAGTTTGTAGATGTGTGCTAAGGTGTTCACTCACACTGAAGTAATTTACAGATGGCTCCT